CATAGAAGTGGTGATACCTGCTATACTTGTTCTTATCTCAGGGGTAAATCTTTCAGTAATTTAAGATTAAATTTCTTGTTTGTTGAAAAGCATTTGTATGTATCAGATAAGGACATTTCTTTCTATTCTTAGTTTATGTGTATATATATGGTGCCCTGGTGGCACAATGGTTAAGTTATGCGGCTGCTAACCGAAAGATTGGCAGTTCACATCCACCAGCTACTCCTTGGAAACACTATGCGGCAATTCTGCTTTGTCCTCTAGGGTCACTATGTATCTATGTATCCTTCTAAACTGTGAGAGAATAAATTTCTGTTTGTTAAACCCATCTATTTGTGGTATTTCTGTTATAGCAGCAATAGATAACTAAGATACTTTTATATCTCAAAAGAGATTGACTCAACATACAATCTAATCCTGTAGATTGAGTCCTGCCTCATTAACATCATAGAGATAGCATTTACAACATGTAGAAAAATCACATCAGATCACAAATGGTGGATTATCACACAATACTGGGACTCATGGCCTAGCCAAGTTGACACATTTTTGGGGGACACTATTCAATCCATAACGGTAAGTCACAATGTATTGCTACTGGGATTTCAGTGCATACATGCACAGGTTTATTCCAAAGAAAACATGTTTAAATATGTCTCTATGATCAGTTGGTGGTTGCAGACAAGTTCTCTCAGTAATACACTTGTCTTAGACTTGTTAAGGTGCCTTAAAAAAAAAAAGGATACTTCTTGTACCATGGAAAAAAATGATTTTGAGGTCAGGGCTAATATCAAATTTTTAACAAAACTCAAGTAGACATCTTCCCAAATCATTGAAGATTTGCAATAAGTTTATGGGAATGCTGCCCACATATACCACAGTTTTTTGATGTATTAAGCGTTTTAAGAAAGATTGTGAAGACCTCAAAAATGAGACAAGAGAGAGAAGACTGTTCAGAAGGTTATGGCAACTGTTTTTTGGGATTCCAAAGGTAATCCTGATAGATTTTCTTGAATGACGATCATGGGTGCTTATTATGAAAAAGTTTAAAGAAAATTGAAAACTGTATTGGTGAGAAAAAGGCCAGGAAAGTTGCACCAACAAATTTTTTTCCACCACAATGCACCTACTCACTCTTCGAGTCCATAGGGCAGTCTTATGAGAATTTCATTGGGAAACCTTACCCCATCCACCCTAGAGCCCTGATCTTGCCCCTTCAGACTTCTTTTTGTTCCCAAAATTCAAAGAACATTGAAAAAGGACATGATTTGAGTCCCTCGAGGATGCCAAAACTGCCGTTTAGATGTGGTATAAATTGAAGAGTACAGAATTCTTTGGGGAAGGGTTAGAGAGATGGAAATATTGCCTTCAGAAGCGTATAGACCTAGATACAGGAAAAGTCAAGAAAGAGTAGTTTCACATTTTGGTATTTTTGTTTAATAAAGGTTTCTATGATTTTGTAGCAATACTTTTTGACTTACCCTTGTGTATATATAACATACATTATATATATATATATATGTTGTTGCTGTCTGCCATCAAGTCAATTCCAACTCATAGTGACACTATAGGACAGAGTAGAACTGCCCCATAGAGTTTTCTAGGCTGTAATCTTTACGAGAGTAGCCCTGGTGTGCATTAAAGCGCTTGGCTGCTAACCAAAAAGTTGGTGGTTTGAATTCACCAGCTGCATCAGTGGAGAAAGATGTGGCAGTCTGCTTCTGTGACTATGGGGAGGGCAGGACCTGGATCTAGCCAAGGTAACATGTGATCAAGAACTGATGGTACTGAAGGAAGAATTCCAAGCTACACTGAAGGCATTGGTGAAAAACAAGGTCTCAGGAATTAACAGAATGCCAATTGAGATGTTTCAACAAACAGATGCAGCACTGGAGATACTCACTCATCTTTGCCAAGAAATTTGGAAGACAGCTACCTGGCCAACCGACTAGAAGAGATCCATATTTGTGCCCATTCCAAAGAAAGATGATCCAACAGAATGCTCCAGTTATCGAATAATGTCATTAATATCACACACAAATAAAATTTTGCTGAAGATAATTAGAAAGCAATCACAGCGTTACACTGACAGGGAATTGCAAGAAATTCATATCAGATTCAGAAGAGGATGCATAACAAGAGTATCATTGTTAATGTCAGATGTATCTTGGCTGAAAGCAGAAAATACCAGAAATATGTTTACCTGTGTTTTACTGACTATGCAAAGGCATTGGACTGCGTGGATAATAACAAATTATTGGAATTCCAGAACATTGAATTGTGCTCATGAGGAACCTCTACTTAGACCAACAGGCAGTCGTTCAGACAGAACAAGGGGGTACTGTGTGGTTTAAAATCAGGAAAGGTGTGTGTCAGGGTTGTATCCTTTCACCATGATTATTCAATCTGTATGCTGAGAAACTAATCGAAGAAGCTGGACTATATGAAGGAGAACGCAGCATCAGGATTGAAGGATGACTCATTAACAATTTATGATAGGCAGATGACATAACCTTGCTTGCTGAAAACTAAGAGTACTTGAAGCAATTACTGATAAAGATAAAAAATCTGCAGCCTTCAGTATGGATTACACCTCAACATAAAAATAAATAAATAAATAAATCCTCATAACTGGACCAGTAGGCAACATCATGGTAAACAGAGAAAATATTAAAGTTGTTAAGGATTTCATTTTACTCGGATCCACAATCAATGCCCCTGGAAGCAGCAGTCAAGAAATCAAATAACGTATTGCATGGGGCAGATCTACTGCAAAAGACCCCTTTAAAACTGACGATGTCGCTTTGAGGACTAAGGTGTGCCTGACCCAAGCTATGATATTTTCAATCACCTTGTATGCATGCAAAAGCTAGACAATGAATAAGAAAGACGAAGAAGAATTGATGCCTTTGAATTATGGTGTTGGTGAAGAATATTGAATATACCGTGTACTGCCAGAAGAATGAACAAATCTGTTTCAGAAGAAGCATACCCAAAATGTTCCTTAGAAGCGGGCATGGCGAGACTTCCTCTCATGTACTTTGTACATGTTATCAGGAGGGACCAGTCCCTGGAGAAGGACATCGTGCTTGTAAAGTAGAGGGTCAGCGAGAAAGAGGAAGACCCTCACTGAGATGGACTGACGCAGTGGCTGCAACAATGGGCTCAAACATAGCAATGATTGTGAGGGTGGCGCAGGACTTGGCAGTATTTCCTTCTGCTGTACATAGGGTCACTATGAGTTGAAACTAACAACAACATAATCACAAGTGAAACTACTTTATAGTTTTCTTAGATTTTCCTTTTTTTTCAGTTAAAGATATTCTGGCATCGTAAAATGAATTAGCGAGCTTTTCATATTTCTCTAACCTGAGATAAACTTTGAATAATGTTGAAGATATCTGCTCTTTAAAAATTAAATAAAACTTATATGTGAGTTCATAATTTCTCATAGATTTGTTCATTACTTTTCTAGTTACTTTCATGGAAATCAATTTATTCAAGTCTGCTTCTTTTAAATTTGGGGGACTTTTTTCTTAAATATTCCATCTTTTGTTAACTGCTTGTTTGAAATTTTGTAGTATTGTTTTAAATGACTTGGGAAATAAGTTTTTGAAGATTAGTTAACTTTTAGAATCTTGATTCAATTGAGTTTTATTTGAACTTGAGTTTTAAGCTGGATACATTTTTTGAAATTATCTTTCTCTATTTTATAAGTGAAACTCAGAGAATTAATGAGCTCGTATATACTGTTTCCATTATTCTTAGTTTGGAATTTGGGAACAGTATTCTTATCCTTAAGGAGCCCTAGTGGAGCATTGGTTAAGCGCTCAGCTGCTAACTGAAAGGTCATTGATTTGAACCCACCAGGTTCCCTGGGAGAAAAGTCCTGGTGATTTGCTCTGGTAAAGATTCCAAAACCAAAAAGCAAACCGGGGGCCGTGAGTCAATTTTGACTCATAGTGTAGGAAACCCTATGGGACAGTTCTACTCTGTCTGTAGGGTAGCTGTGAGTCAGAATTTACTTGATGGCACGCAAAAACAGCAACACTCTTATCTTTATCCTTCCCAGTTGATTTTGATATTTAAAGCTAATATACACTGCCTGTTGGCTTTTGTTTTTTCCACTCAGAGGTAATACTGCTGACTTGCAGCCTTGGTTGGTTGGTTAAACATGGTGATATCTATAGAATAATACATTTTAATTCTGCAATCATTTCTTTTCTGTGAGGTCTGCATTGATCTATATCCAGGAAAATCACTTTCTAAATGTGGTATTTTTGATCAAAATAGTTGACTTTTCAAGTTGCCCATCGCTGTGTGGTTATCAAAGGGCAGGATCAGACCTTCATGTTGTTTGCCATTGCCTTTCTTGTAAGTTTTCAATATTCAATGAGGCTACCCTGACAGCAGCTCAAAATGTGTGATCTTTGAGCTACTAAGAGATGTTATCCCACTGTACATTTGCCATGGGTACATCTGCTGTAGTTAAAGTCTAAAAGCAGTTATTTTGTTAATGTTCAGATTAGATCTTTAATTAAGCTTTCATCCCCGTGAGCACAGACAACACTGTCAAACATTGAGGAGAAACCAAACTCATTCTACAGTCTCATATCCTTCAGTATTTTGTGAAGAAGCTTACAAATAAAACACTCATGGGAATTTCATAGGGGCATGTTGAATATCTATTTGTAAGCTAAGCTTAGAAGCTTCCTTAATTTGGATTTCATATTTGATGTATACCATGAGTTAAACCAATGAAAATATTTATATTTGGTGATATTCTTATTTTTAATCAATTGGATTTTATTTCAGATATTTAATATTTTCCATATGAAAATGCTTTTGTTATCTACAGAGCTCAATGGTAACTTAGTAAAAATGTAATTTTATTTATCTGCTTGACAATTAAATGTACAAGGATCAGATGCTAAAGCAAAAAAATGTTAAATGTACAACAGTTGAACTTGTATCCATATGCTTTGCATTTATTTTCTCAGGATCATTTATTTATTTTGGGACACAGCAGCCTCCTGGGGTGGCTAAGCTTGGAAGTCCTATCCTTACAAAATTGCTCACGGCCTCTACCCCATGTCAGGTAATCAACTATTCTGAATTTCCGTCAATCATTCTGTGGCTGTAGCCTTTTTTAGGCTTGAATTACTTATGCTAGTTAAATGCCTCCTATGTTTTACTACCATTTTCATGATGAATTGAGAGATTTATATGAACTATTTCAACATGAAATGTCATGTCCTTCTAAAAGACTATTTACACATATAGTATGTACCATTCTTTTCGGGGGCCTTTAAAGAATCTTTTTATAATTTTATATTCTTTCCACATTCATCTAATTCTTTCAATAATCTAAAACTGTGGGTACACATTGCCAAAATTGATTGTTATTCTGGACGGCAATTTTAATCAAGTAAAATAAAATTGACTAAATAAGTGCTTGTTGAAAGAAAATGAAAGGATGAATAAAGATAAATATATACAGAAAAAATACTTTCACTGAAATTTTATTGTTTTAATTAGTCCTTCTGGTGCCAAGTAAGCACAGACTAAGCAGTAAGAAACTTAGTTTATTTCAAAAGTACAATAGAAAGGAAAGGCGATGGACTTTGGAGTCAGACAGACCTGGTTCAAATTTCTGTTCTGCCACTTTGTAATTGTGCAACCAACAAATTATATACTCCCTCAGAGTCTCAGTTTTACACTGGAAGCATTATTAGAGTATCTCCTTCACATGATTATTACAGATTAAAATGTGATTAGATAAAACACCTGACAAAGTACTTGGCATGTAATAGATGCTCACTAAACATAATCCCTTTGCTTTCCATAAAACGAATTCCGAAATTATGTGTTTCTGTTCATTTTACCTTGTTTTTAGCCCTTTGAGAGTGCTAACTTGCCTCTAACCCCCTATGACTTAAGCTCTTTGTTTTCTTTAGTTATCAGAAAATAATGTAGATATCAATACTGTCACACATTAAATTTATCACCTGTTAGTGTAGGGTTAAGGCAACTGGTTAGCACAGTGGTCAAGTGCTCATCTGCTAACTGAAAGGTTAGAGGTTTGAATCTACCAGCCATCCCACAAGGGAAAGATGTGGCATCTGCTTCCATAAAGACTACAGCCTTGGAAATCCTATGGGCAGTTCCACCCTGTCCTGTAAGGTCGCTATGAGTTGGAATCAACTTAATGGCAACAGGTTTGGTTTGGGTTTAAGTGTAGGATTACAGAAGTTTGCTCAGGCATTCCTAATGATATATTGCATATCAGTTAGAGGCATAAATCCAATTAAACTCTCAGGTTGGCATTAGTCTAAGTAGGATTGCCCAGAGCTCTTAATAGGTTCTCCTCTCTATTTTTTATTTGTTTTTTTCTTCATATTTCTCTGTGGGAATTGGGATTGAAACAACTGTCTGGATTTAACCTCTGCCTCACCCAACTGTGCTTCACCCTCTCTCTCCTTTCCTTTATTTTAATTAAATCGTGTGCAATAGAAAGATTGATAAAGATTTTTTTTTTGAGAACCCCAGAAGCACTTGCTTGCTCTTTAAAAGTACTTTGCAAGCTTACTTAGCTTTAATTCAAGGTTACACACAAAAGTGACGAGATCACTATCGCTATATATATATATAAGATACTAGATACAAAGGAATAGAATGTATTAGTTCTGCTTGTTTTACTGAAATTTGGAAACAAACATAACGAGCTTGTTAGAAATTCCTCTGATTGACTGAGAAATCATATATATTTGTTTTCTTTTCAAAGATAACGTACATTTCCCATTGTCGTATGCTGATAATTTGTGCTTATTGGGCTTCAGTTTATTGTTGTTTCCTCTTGAGGATATTTTTCTCTATTTTTGCAAGTATTTAGAGCCTAGCTGTGGGCAGTTATGAGGTGGGGGCTCAGTGTAAGTGCTGTGATGGACAGTTTAGACACTTGATAGTTTATCGCTCAGAACCAAGGCTTCTGTCCTCCAAAGATCTTGGATGTTGACTTAGTGATTTGCCTTGGTTTTGGAAAACTGTAGATGCTTCAGGGAGCCACTACAGAAAGAAGTATTTGTTTTTTATACTTTTTGTCTGCATCTGGTTGAATGTTAGTAATCTTTGAGTTTGATGAGGGAGGGATATATGTTCTACTTTGTAATACTTTCCATCTTAGGAATTAATAGTAAACTGGTAGATAAGGTTATACACATAGCTAATGTTATACTCATAGCTAATGTTCTCTCTCAAAGGAACTTTCTAAGAATATTAGTTTTTTTGTTTGTGATAATATGCGATAATTTTTTTCATAAACATTTTAGGATATGCTAACAAACCAAATTCTAATCTTCTAGGACGATCAGAAACTCCAGTTGACCATCCTAACTGGAACATGTTGATAAAAGCTGTTTTCCTAGAACAACAAATATTGTTCATTATAAAACAGTAAAGTGAGACAGTGAGATAACTGAAGCTGTGCACTTTGATATGATGAAAGCCTTCATTTTATGAAATCATATGACTTTTTCCCCAACAGCATCATATCAGGCTAATACCATTAAGAATATTTTTTGAAAGGAGTTTAAAGGAACGTGAACTTTCTTTTGAGTCACCTTTCCTTAACAGCCCACTTTTAGAGTCATTTGAAGGAATTATCCTATAGTTTATGTATATCCAATATATGGCATCAATATGCACAATTGTTTCTGCAGCTAATCATTGTCCAGGATGTGGATATTAATTTAAAAGCTTCAAATGTCCCTTCAGCCACTGGTGGAAACTTGGCAATTTTCCTCGGAACAGCCAGCACACAGGACAAATAGGACATCTGGCAGCCAGAAGCTACTATTTCTAATTGATGTTGAAATACATTAACTGTTTTGAATTAACTAGAAAATATCAAATATAAAGGTGATTAATGTAGGTATTAATATTTTCTGAGTTATTGTATTTGAGTTACTGTACAAAAGACACAGTATCTCATTTTTAGGACTGTAATTAAATACAGGGAGATTGGTAATATGAAATTTTTGCTTCCATTCTAATTCATAAAATTCTTTTAAAAAGTCCAGAAGGAAATCAGGATGAAGATAGATGAAGCAAGAGGCGGGTTGATTCCTAAAATAAAGTTGATCAGGGTCAGGCTACACATTTGAGTCTTAAGTTTCCAGCATTCAAGGCAGACAGGAAAATGTGAGTCATTATGTGGTTCAAATTCAAGAAGTGAAAAAACAGAACAAAACAAAAGTGGTTCCTCAGAGACTTCTCCTTTCAGTGCTCACAGTGATAACAATGTAAACATGCCTTCTCTGATTCAGCGCACATTTATTGCTTACCAGTCAGTGCTGATCATAGCCCTCAATGCTGGGAATATAATTAGGAACAATCTAAACACATGCCTGCCTTAACTAAATGTAGAGTTCACTGAGGGTCACTGATAGCAATTCAGTGTTAAGTGTTACAAGGGGATGAGTAGAGTATAAGAACATGTACACAGGGTATACTGTACAACAATCCCTCAAAGAGTTTTGAAAGGCCGTATCTGACAATGTTCCACAAGTTCAGTAATAAACTCAAGTCAAAGAGAAAATTAGAAAAATGTAATTATGAATTGGGGCTTGGAATGATGCAATCACACTGTTCCTGATACCTGTTGCCGTCAAGTCGATTACGACTCATAATGACCCTGTATGACAGAATAGAACTCCCACGTAGAGTTTTCAAGGAGCGGCTGGTGGATTAGAACCGCTGACGTTTTTGTTAGCAGCCGAGCTCTTAACCACTGCACCACCAGGGCTCCTTGTTCCTGATAGTTTTGTTTAATCAAGGATAGTTGTAAGAGTATCTGAGAGGTTCTAGAGGAAGTAATAACTTATGGGAAAAAAAGCTGAGCAACTACTCTCTCCAATTGTATATGATTGAAAAACATGCAGATTAATTATTTCAGTGAGAAAAACATATTTTATTAAAGATTCTAAACTACTACTTAGTGTGTTAAGGTGAAGAATATTCAGGCAAAAATATAATTATGGCTGGGAGCCATAAAAATCCCTATGACAGTGGTGAGGTGTCTGTCTGTGTGTGTGCTGAGAATGATCCCCCTTTACAACATGAACTTATTCCCAGCTGAATTTAGAGGAGCTATAGATATTGTTTGAATTGTTTTCTTCTCTTTTAAGAATATTATTTTACTATTCTTATAATTCTAGATAATCTTATTATTCGCATTCTAGATCATGAAGATGTAGCAGATGTAATAAATACCAGACTGAGGAAAATTTAGAGGGTTAGATGTAAAGCAGAGAAGGAAGAGGTAGCTGAGGTTTCGGAATACAGCTGAAAAAGGACATGAAGATCCGATCAAGGAGCTCTAAGATAGATAATCTGAACAAAGACCATAGGAAAGCTGAAAAAGAAGCAGAAAATCTGAAGAGTAGAGTTTCAGTTGGAGAGAGCTCAAAATCAAGTAAAAAAGAAAACAGAGAAATCAGGAAAATACCATTTTAGATTTCTAACTAATGACCTGTGGTGTTCTTCGTAGAATTAAATATCAGAGAGCTAAGTTACTCCTTTGTAGTGCTAGTCACTCCTCTGGAGAACACCACAGGCACACTGTGAAACCAAAGAGCAAATGATGTGCCTAGAATCCTCATACTCTGTCTCTAGTTTAGTCACCCAAGCTTAGTGACTCATATGAGTCACCCTGATAAGCTTCTTTTCTAGTAAAATGAACAGTTCAATATTTTTAAAAAATACAAGTAATATGAAATCAGAGAATCCAACTAAAAAGAGTAAAATAATTTAGCTTCAGTTCTTCTTTCCAACCTGCAATTAATTGAAGTGCTTTATTGGAAGCTTTTTAAGCCAAATAAGAGTCCCTTCAATATAATAATTCAGCGTCTCAGTCACTCTATATATATTACTACCTCAATGAAAACCCAAGGGAAACAAAATCAAATCTTTTATACTGACATTTAATTTAACTGCTTTTTAGCACATCAGGCCTGAATCAATAAAACACTTTCCTTTAAAATGGTAAATAATAATAGATTCAAATGGTCAACGTAATAGTAACTTACATGCTTTGCAGCTCTGTGTAATAGAACTTTCTATGATGATAGAAATGTTCTTTTGCTACATCCAGTATGGTAGCCACTAGCCACATGTGTCTATTGAGCACTCAAAATGTGGTGAGTGTGTCTGAAAAACTGAATTTTTCATTTTGTTTAATTTTAATTTAGATTTAAATAGCCACATCATTTGCATGTCTTTGTCATTTCATTCCTTATACTTTGTTGTTTAACTGTTCTGTTTCTTTTCTTTCCCCTATAAGACTCTGAAGTCCCTAAGGACACCTAATGCCTTGCACACTTTCTGACACAGAATCAGTTTCGTGTGTGTGTGTGTGTGTGTGTGTGTGTGTGTGTATGGACGCTCACTTCAGCACGGCTGCTAATACTCCATTCATTCATTCCTTCATTTTTCTCAATACATATTAACTGAGTACCTAGTAAATACAAGTTGCTTTAATAGGTCCAGTGAGGAATTCAGAATATATAGCATGCATCATGATTTTGAGTTTATGACTTCGTATTATGTTACGTGCATATCAGATTGAAGGCCACAGAATTTGTACCCTGGACAAATGCCTGTTTGAAATCATAGCTGTATTAGTAACTTTTATTTAATAATTTCACCCTTAACTATTAAATTTGAAAGGACTCTGGGAAGTGTCTTGGTCTATAATAAACTAAAGAATTCTCCTTAAGTCTTTAAAATGCAAATTCTTTTAAAATAGTAAATTAGATGTAAGTCCTAAGCTCTTATCTTACTGAATAGGAATCCCATTGGTATTTATTCTTAATACACTATTAAAATAACTTAGCACGGATGATGTGATGAGTGATAGTTTGATAGGTTGCAACTCTGACGGAGCATGCACATCTCTTGTACAACTAAGTTTAAAGCTCTGTTTTGCATATTTACAAGCTTAGAACATGGTGAAATTTACAGCAGGGATCTAAGATTTCATTGTAGTTGGGGAACATGAATCCTCCCTTTCCACAGAATGTATTTAACCACTTTCATTAGCTTTAAACTTCTAACATATCTACCAAGGCTTGAGTTTAGGTGAGCATGGTAATAAAATCTAAAATGAGACGTCCAATCAGAAAGATTTTTTTTTTCCTTAGATCACATAGTGGCAATTAGGTCAACACTGAAAAAAATGTATATCAAATTGGAGCATAGAATGTTTAGGGTGATGTTTTGAGTTGAACAATTTGTTTTTTTGAAGAGCATAGTTTACAAATTTTTGTCAACTGTTACCTCCACTGAAATTGGTCTCAACAGTGGAATAAATGGGGTGCCTATATATGTCCTAATATCTGTCCATGAAACCGATGATAAAGGGGGAAAAAAGAAGAATTAAAATGTAGTAAAACTAAAAAAAAAAAAAAAAGAAGTAGTGAAAATGAAAAAAACCCACTATGAATCCAAAGAGAAAGATTCCATTTATGAGGGTCCTGACTTCTGAATGTTATTTTTTCTTTTAAACGCACAGCATTAGGACTCTATGTACTAAGAGGATGAAATAAAAAAGTTTGACTACAGTGTGTCTGATGGCTTGTTCATATATTTTATAGAGTGAATCATCCAACCATTGAGAGAGTTAATTTTTGCCTTGCCCAGTGCCTGGTACTTGTTAAGTGCTCAGTAAATATTGGTTGAATAAGTGACAGCACTGAATTCCATGTTACAGCTACTGCTGTCGACACCTAAAAAATCCTCTCAGTATATCCTTCCCCTATATTTTCTTCACTACATAGTAAACCTGTCAAACCTTTAGATTATGTCTCTATCGATGGTGAACAGGAAACAAAATAATGATGACTTCTAACTTCACAAAGAACCCTATTGCTTGGACTAAAGTTTTTCTTGCTTAAATTATCAATGAACAGTATTATATGAGCTTCCAGGTTCTTTGCTAACGTGAGAACAATGAAGGAATTAACAAAAAGTATTAATTACAGTTTTCTTTTACCTGAGAAAATAATTTTCAGGAAAACATTTTCTTGGTTTGGTGTTTGAAACATTAAGGAGAATGAGTAGTAATACCTGACATTGTAACTTTGAGTTAGAATATGGACCTCCCCAGGTTTATAAGAAGCACACACACATACACACACACACACACACACACACGGAACTGACTCTGTGTCAGAAAATGTGCAAGGACCCGTGACTGTGTGGACAAAAACGTGTCCTTCAAACTTGCCTTGGTAGTGTGCCAACGTCCCATTTATTTAGACATCTCTATGGCATGTTTGGAAACCCTGGTGGGATAGCAGTTAAGTGCTACAGCTGCTAACCAAAAGGTCAGCAGTTCAAATCCACCAAGTGCCCCTTGGAAACTCCGTGGAGCAGTTCTATTCTGTCCTATAAGGTCACTGTGAATCGGAACCAACTCAATGGCAGCGGGTTTAGTTTTTTTGTTCTTTTGTTTTTGTTTTAATGGTGTGTTTTAAAATTGCTAGTTTGTGTTGCTGCCCTGAGCCTTTTTGTTAGGGGAGAATGTAAAAACTAGCAAAAAAAGTACTTATATTTTTTAGGTTGTACACTAGGAGGAAGGGAGAACTGAGAAGATTATACTAAACATCAAGGTAGTTGGGTATATTTCAAATTAGAGAAACACTACTAGAGACAGGTAAATGGAACATTTGTGTCATTCAGATACATTTTTTCATCAGGTGCGGTTTTGGTATCATTTGTCTCAGCATTCACGTCTCTCAGTTTTTACAAGAACATCACTGGATGAGAAGTTGCAAAAGCAGTGTGATCTAACTGGATTCTCCAAATCACAGTGGAGCCAAGCAAAAATCGACCTCTATGTGAAGACTGGGGAAACTACTGTGCCTTTTCAGGTAAGCACATAAGAAATTAATACAATTCAGCCAAAGAAACTTATTTGATGGTAATTCATTCAGACAGTAAAATAACACACATACCCGATAAGTTTTTTTGACATGAAGAAAGCAACCACATTCACAATCAGGGATGAAGAGAGAAGTTATTTTGACTAAGTGCTTAAGACTTATGTTTGGAAGAGCAGCAAAAGTGGAGGTAAGACTTTAATAAATAGGATGTGAGAGAGAAGAGTAATTTGACAGGAAAAAAAAATTTTTCACATGAGGTAGTGAAAAAATCTAACACGGACTGTGCTCACGTTTTTTAATCCTTTTGCCTCATTTTCTGCTACCCATTAAGACTGAGGATTTTATAAACCTTTTATGTCATTGTCTTGATTACTAAAAGAAAGCAATGATAGCTTTCCAAATGGGTGTCCCTCCTGGACATGGCTCACTTCTGGATGATGCTTGAAAAGCATATTTTTAGAAACTAGGTTTGATGGTGTAATATAGTGGAAAATACACTGGCTTCGGAGTCCGAGGTCCAAGTTCCAGTCTCTGCTAGCTCATTGGTTGACAAGTGACTGTGCAGATAATGCCTTTGCGCCTCTGATTCTTAATCTGTGAAAACCATAGTGATGATATATGCAAATACTTCAGGGATGTCTGGGTATTAAAGAAATTATAGCTAAAATGGTGGCTAGGAACATGAACTCTATAGCTTGGGCTTCAAAACAAAGTGTACAATCATAGGGAAGTTGCTTAAACCCTCTGTGCTTCTGTTTCTTTGTAGAATAAAGGAGGAGGGATGATAATTGTTGGGGCTTTAGGGAACCTTGATAAATCACACACCTTCTGCTGGTGGACCTAATTTACGAGCTAGTTAAGATAAATATAGAAGTCAAACAGAGAGCCAACAGTTTTGTAGAAGATGTCTTTAGAATCTGCAGCCATATATTTAAAATATACTTTCCCTGGGTATATTTACCCAGAGAACAGATTTACCCAGAGAATAACTGACTCTGGTGGAGAAATACAGGATAATCACTGGGGAGGACTTTTACCATCTGGCCAGAGACAAGATCAGAATGCATGCCTCCTGCAGATTTGCTAGTTCCCAAAAGTGAGCAGTTAAGAGGGAGAAGAGGATGGATTGAGTATGCCTAGTTTATTCGTCCAAAGTCACCAAGCAGATAAACCCTCCTCTTCTACAGGAAAGGGTGAGTAAGAGGTAACTAACAGCAGTGGCACTGCAGGGAAGTTCCTCCCTGTGTGAAAGCACGGGGAATAGGGAATAAGTAACAACTCCTATTGTTGTTATCTCCTTTATGGAGTGGTTGTGAGGATTAGATGTATTTAGACATGCAAAGCACATGGAAGAGAATGTAGCATAGAGTAAACACATAAAAACTATTATTATTGCTGTGATTATTATTTGGACATTGACAATAGCAGACACTCAATAAATGTGAGCATCCTTTCCTAACTTTAAAAGAGACTCTCTTCGGCTTCTTCACTTAGTGAAGGCCTCCAAACTCCCCTGGTTCTCAAGGATCCTTAATCATATTTACAATTCTAGACTCGTATCTAATAAACAAAAACATCACAAATCTAGTTGCTGTTAATTGGGAAGCATTTGACATAAAGGCCAGTCATGGAACTATTTCAGTGTCAATCTGCATTCAGTATGACAAGATAAACAAAAACAGAACAAACTGATCCCTTGCTCATGTATTTAAATTCTGTATAAAATAGTTTTTATTAGGTTTACCTTGAGTTAAAATGAAACTTACCAATAAGATTTTTCAGTGTTTATTGTTGATTGACATATCAGGAAGAAAACATAATGTCCTTTGTTAGAATAAGTTATTTGAGAAATATTATTAAGTTGAAGCACATTCATTGACCTGTCACCATTATTGAATAGTTTCATCTTAGTATAATTTTTTTCCCATATGTTTCTTTTGTTTGTTTGTTTTGCCTTACAGTACAAATTGAGACTACTACTAATTATCTGGGAGCATATTAACCAGTTTGTTGATTGACCAGAGGGCTGGTTGGATTTTGTAATGTGGCAGCAACAGAGATGTGTGGTGATTTCTAGCCCAGACTACTCTGCTGCTCTCTGCTCTCTCTTTATCCCCCTCCCGGCTCAGCATCAAGTGTTGGCTCTTTACTCCTCCCAGTTGGGGCTCCCAATCAACATCAATCAGCCTCTGTTTGATTATGAAATCCTTCTAGGAAGTGCCTTATCTATCTAGTGCTGCTGTAACAGAAAAGTCACAAATGAGTGGCTTTAAAGAACAGAAATTATTTTCTCACAGTTCTGGAGGCCAAAAGTTCAAATCAGGGTCTCAGCTATGTTGATTCCTTCCTTGTTGATAGCCTTGGGCTGTCCTTGGTTCCTTTGTATTCCTTGACTTGTAGATGATCCTCACATGTTACTTGTCTTCCCCAGCGTGGGTGTTTCTGTGTCTATTCTGCTCTTTTTATAACTCAGAAGTGATTAGGTTTAGGATCCATCTCACATTGGTATGACCTCGACTGATTGATTGTATTATATTATATTAATTATGGAAGGAAATTACAATACAGTTTACATTACATTACATTATGGAACAGCAATTAGACTAGGTTTTGGCCAAACCACTGGGAACCATAGGCTAGCCAAGCTGACACATAAAATTAACAATCACAGAAGGTAAAGGATTCTAGGTCCTTTCTGGGCCTTCACCAGTTGCTGTGGAGACAATTCCAACTCATGGTGACCCCATGTGTGTCAAAGTAGAACTGTGCTCCATAGGGTTTTCAATGGTTAATTTTTAGAAGTTGATTGCCAGGCCTTTCTTCCGAGGTACCTCTGGGTGGACTCAAACCTCCAACCTTTCAGTTAGTGCATTAACCATTTGCATCACCCGGGTCTCATTAGCCATGTTTAGTTCACCTCTGAGAAGTCTGTGCCTCCCCCTCCTTCTTCTTAATTCTGTTACTTGAAAGTGGGCTGTCGCACATGTTTGTTTTAGAAACTACAGATAAATAAAAAGAAAAATTACCTCAAGTATAATCCTCAAGAAGACCATTACAGAGCCACAATCTTTTCTCAGCAATACAGAAAATTAAAATTTTGAAAGCAATAAGCTTTACAAAACTTATTTTAGAGTAAAAATCTTACCTGATCTGATGTAATGTAAAGTCCTTTGGCAGTTCACTTAGTGATGGGTTGGATGGTAGAGTGCTGCCTCACATCCCTGATGGTGTTACGTAGTGTATACTATATGCATTATATTAATGTTCTTGACTCTGCACTTTGCCAGATTTCAACAACCATCTGGCACCAAGGGTTTTGGACAAGGAATTGTGAGCCTGGGTTAACGTTGTGTTGTAAATCAGTCCAGATTACACACGCACAGGACACAATTATTTAATAAATTGATATTATACATTTATTATTGAATATTTCAAAAGTGTAGGAAATATACCAAAAAAACCAAACCTATTACCACTGAGTCAATTCCAACTCATAGCAACTTTATAGGACAGGGTAGAACTGCCCCATAGGGGTTCCAAGGAGCAGCTGGTAGATTCAAACAGCTGACCTTTTTGTTAGCAGCCAAATGCTTAACCACTGCACCACCAGAATTAACTAACGTTAATGTTTTGCCATACTTACATATAAAGATGCAGCCTTGTCCCCTTTGTGCCCCTTCACATCCATTTCTTGTCCTTTGTAGAAAAAAAAATGCTAATGCTGTGTTGGTTTTAACCACATTTTTCTGAGTGTATTTTTAAAAGTCTGAAAATATTCATGAGGAATCTGGCTAGATGCAGTTCTGATTCATTCTTTTATCACCATATATATTACAAATAGTCAGCCTACCTTTTAATTATTCAAATGTTTAAAGTTTATCTTCTTGGAAACAGGCTAGGATTTGGGCACCTTAAATTTAGTGGACTGAATCATTTATGGGTGACCTTAGTCAACGTGACTAAACTCTGAACATACTTATACAGTGTAATCCAATCCAATATAAATATTGGGAGGGAGAAAGGCAATGGACTAGAAGACCTCTGTGTTCCCTTTGAGCCTGGACATTCTGATTCAGTGTGATTCTGTCCTCTTTATGTCACTTGTAGACATCACGAGAGAGTACAGTTAGTATACTTTGATACCCTAATGTTTCCACAAAATCTCAGAATATACCTAGTTTCCTAGGAAATAAGTGTCTCTAGTTAGGTAGAAAGTGATAGACTTGGTGTTTATTCTATCGAGAACAGCAAATTAAATTGTCAATATTCCTTCCATTTTCTGTCAAGTTTTATTGGAAGAATATGAGTCATATATGAAAAAACCAAACCACACCTGTTGCTGTCAAGTTGATTCCGGCTCATAGTGACCCTATGGGGCAGAGCAGAACTGCCCCATAGGGTTTCCAAGGAGCGGCAGGTGGATTCAAACTGTCAAGCTTCTGGTTAGCAGCTGAGCTCTTAACCACTGCACCACCAGGGCTTCTGACTCATATAGTTAATAGCATTCTTTTCAATGTGTTTTAAATTGACCTGTTTATATGATTTGTTAATTTTTTTACCCAAATACATTAATTTAATTTACAATTTCTTTCTTTCCTGTTATTTTCAGTTTTAATACATAAAAATAGCACTTTCTCTGAGTACTGTCCATTGATTGCCAAGTTGATCTACTTTCTTTGAGCTTTTACTTAAAATATAATTGTGTCTATTTAAGGTTTCATCTTAAAATGGCCCTTTTGCTAAATTTTCCACAATGATTGATAACATGTTCACTCTTTATCAAAGTCAATGCTGTAAGTCAATAACAATTTCCTGACATTATTTGAAGATTAAATGAAGGATAAGATTTATAATACAAAAGTAAGAGCTGGTTTATTCTCTGTAAAGTTGCTATGTCCATGGCCTTCTTAATCTAGGGCTTCATTAAATCTTAGTTCACCAGGTAGCCTTGTTCTGCAGCAGCTATGGACCAATTATCTCTTTATTTT